TGTTTTCTTTCTGTATTTTTTTTTTTTTTAAATACAGAAACATGACTTTTTCCAATACAAAATAAAACTCAACTATTTCTTTAATCTTCTCAAAAAGTTTTCAGCTGAACATTTTCAGACTGATGTCTTTTCTTAAGAGTTGAGAGCAAGTACAATAAATAGTTAAAGAGCAAAACTTAATTTGACCATTCTGTTATAATCTTAAAAAAGATAAAGAATCAAATGTCTTCGAGAACTCTGCATGTTAGAAGGTCTAACAAACCGAACAGGCCAAAAATTTAAATTCACCAGAAAACGCCCTTCGTTCAATCTCCTTCTCACTTAAGTCACCAGTAAAGACACCACTGACATCAATAACAATGAGGCGGGGGGATGCTGCTGCCGTTTTGGTTGTAGGATTGCTGAAGGTAAGGGAAGAAAGAAGTAATTTTTTCAAGTCTTTTATGGCTATTGCACAAAACATTTCTTATTGATGTGATGCTAGGAAAAGAGAAAGCTGTTTATTCTTTAAAAGCATCTTATCTGTCTTTAATCAGGTTTGAATTAATGTTCTAGAAGCACAATCACTTTCATCTAGCCTAATTTTTTACCCTTTAAAGCTTTACATGCAAGTTATAAGAGGCTAAAGCATTAACTTGATCTAGCTCAAGCCTTTTCAAGCATACATGTTGTTTCATAAGTTTTAATGACTGTTCTCAACAAATACATTCATGTGGATAAATCAACTATTTCTAGAAACATGTTTCTAATCACTTCAAGACAGAGCATCTGTTGATTCTGCAGCTTTTGTTTTCTTTTAAACAGAAGGAAATATAAAGAAACATATTGTTGAAGAAATGAATTTTTAAAATGTTGATTTCTCTCATCTCTCCCCAATTCCTCTTTGCTATAGATTCAGGCTGCATATTTTTGTGAGTATGACATCCTTTGTGTGTCAGAGTTTAACAAAAAATTTAGTCAGTTCCAAGTATTCATGAAATCTACATTATGCACACATTTGTCTTAAACATAAAATTGGTTTGTTCAAGGTGGTATTTATTCCAATAAAAGTGATTTTTGCAGGAAAACTTGTCTGTTATTTTAGATTTAAAATTGCATTAGTGAAAGCACTATCTGATGACAAACAGATGGAATGTTTTCATAATTTACTGCCTATTGTTCCTTTGTCATTATTTTATAAAAAATTGATAGTCATTCTTCATATTCTACAATTTTGTCTTCATGTTCACAAATATGAAGACATACGTAACAGGCAGCCATCTCCAACAGTCCCATGCACATGACAACTTCAAGTTTTCTTCTTCAAGGAGCTCCACTTTAATAGATTCTGCAAAATCTGATTAATATGGAACAATACTTCCAGAAAGGCATGGAAGAACAGGAAAGCATACACAGCAGCAGCTTCAAAAAAGTAGGATGCTTTCCTAAGAAATGCTCAGCCCTAGATAGTCAGCTCAGCCTAAACTTGCTCTCTCTAGGATCTCACCGTACAGCTTTGCTTTCCCAAAATTCTGCCCATCAGTCACACTAACTACAACCACCTCAACAACTCCAGATTAGTTGAATTGTCAAGCTTTGTCAAAGCTGTGGTTTGGGGTTTTTTGTTTGTTTCTTTGTTTGGGTTTTTTTTGTTGTTTGGGTTTTTGGTTGTTTGGTTTTGTTTTTGTTTTGTTTTGTTTTGAATCCAAAACACATACTATGCATCCTGGTTAGAATTTATGTGACATAACCTCATGGGCTTTTAATGATACAGAACCTTGTGACAAACTTGGAGTCAAGCAAAATTGTATTAATACAAAGAGATGCAAGTCTCACCTGTAGCTTTCACCAACCGTGACAATCTCCACTTCACTATCTGTTGAGGTAACATTTATTTCTTCATTAGCAGTGACCTGGGGAGTGGAGGATGCTTCAATCACCACAACATCTTCATCAATACTTCCTGATGAGGAAAAAGGAAGAAGAAAGGTTGTATACTTCATCTATCTCAGGAGCTGCCATTATAAGAGACTATTTTTTTCCTAGACTTAAAATACATGTAGGTAGGTAATTTCATGGTGCATGTCAAAACTTTAGGTGCAACTGTCAAATACATGACCTAATTTTTAAAGGTAGCAATTTTGCTGTAAAATATTGAAATAAAAAAAGGAAGGAAAAAGAAGATGGGGGGGGAAGATATGCAAGCTTACATTTTACAGTGTATTGGAAGCAATTACAGTGAATTTTATTAGTTGTAACACTAACGAAATTAGGTCATTTAATATAAAAACAAATTAAACTTTCAAACTAGCTAAGCAGTGGTGGTTTGTTATCATTAATTTTTTTTACGTTTTTGTAGGTATTAAAGTCTCAAGCCTAAACAGTAGCAACAGGAGAAAAATGATGTACCAACTAATATATGTTATTTATTACCACAACAAAATGAAGATCACAAATCCATTGGTGTTTATAAACATCTTTACATCTACGCTTTCAGTAGCATTCACAATCGTATACTAGACATACAGTGAATTTATTATTTGTAACACTAACGAAATTAGGTCATTTAATATAAAAACAAATTAAACTTTCAAACTAGCTAAGCAGTGATGGTTTGTTATCATTAATTTTTTTTACGTTTTTGTAGGTATTAAAGTCTCAAGCCTAAACAGTAGCAACAGGAGAAAAATGATGTACCAACTAATATATGTTATTTATTACCACAACAAAATGAAGATCACAAATCCATTGGTGTTTATAAACATCTTTACATCTACGCTTTCAGTAGCATTCACAATCGTATACTAGAGAGAGGAAGCTAAAATGAAACTACCAATGGTAAAAAACAACAACCAAAACCCCACAAAATCAATTTAGAGACAAGTTTTGATAGGAAACAATTTCCACTTCAGGAAAAATGATTAAAGTTCCAGCCTAATACCCAGACACATAGGAACACTTCTCTACAGCTGTAGTACTGACAGTGACAAGTTTGAGCTATCTAGAATACTTAAATTGAGCTATGGATTATTCACTATAGTAATACCACTGAGCACAAAAGAACTTACTAAATAAATGAGCTATATAGCTTAGAAATAGTAAACTACCTTTTTGAGATTTGCAAATTTCTTCAAGAAAGGTGCCTGAAGAACTTGGTCTCATTCAAGTCAATACTTACATCCTGTATGGACTGACTGTTCTCAGCTGCTCTACCCAATGACAAGGTGGGGCAGATTATTTCCCCCCCCTCCAAGTATCAACATTTTTATATTTTGACAAAACAATTTGCATTACTTATTTTCCAATGGCCTTTGTTTGTTTCTGGTCATACTTATCCCAGAGAGACTGGTGTCTGAAGATGGAAAGAGCGAAGCTTCTAAAAATTGGTATTCACCAAATTCTCACGATTGGAAGTAGTATGTGACAAAATTAATTCTCAGAACTTGCATGAAAGTTTTGGGAAAAACTGAAAATATTACAGTGTCTAAAAAACAAAGTCACATGCTAAAATTGAAAATACAGAAAGGCCAATTACTCAAAGTGAAAGAAAGGCAGCTAAAGTCATCATCACATTCAGAAGAATGTAAATGTCATGATTTTGATGTCTTGCAAATCACGGGCAAATAAGCAAAAGCTTCCTTACACAAAACTGTCTTAGCTGCTTCTCAGACAAAATCAGCTAGCCAAGCAGCTGGTGAAAGGTCAGTCAGAAGAAAACCCAACTATGTTTCCCCTATCTCTGTGCTTCTAAGTCAAGTCTCTGAAATAATCTGTCAGAATGAGGTCTCAGAGTACAGCCTCCTTGAGAGGCCGACAGGAATACAGGGTGCCTGCAGCACATGAGCAACAACACAGCTATCAAGGAGAGACCCCTTAAACTTCAGCAAGCCCATGTATAAGGGATTTATCCTAGCATTAGAGCACTTCATTTACAAGGCAATTAAGAATTAAAACTGTACCGATACTGAAGAACTAGTGAAATTTAAGATGTCTTTTTGAATGTTCTGTAGTATCAAAGCTGGGGAAAAAAAGAGTAAGTTCTCTGCCAAATGCACTTAAAATTCAAGTCTGCTGGTTTGAACTACTCCAAGCCTAATCCTAGAAAATCCATGATGTTGTGCAGTTCCATGTAATGTAACTTTGCAGGTTAAGTTAGTATCTGAAGGTGAACTTTACTGATATGTCAGAGTAATTCAAGATGGTTGCCTTGAATTTTAAGAGTGCACAAACCTGTAAAGCAGAAGGAAACCTTCTTTAGTGAGATGACTGACATGCAGAAGTAAATGGATTTTCAGAGGTTTTGCTGTATTGTTTCTAAAAATATTTGCTCAAGATAATTTTGAGGCACTTGCATGCCTCAAATATTTACCACATATGTAACTCTTAAGAGCCATCTGGTGAATCCAAGGCTACACGTTAGCAGTAAACAGCTGAACATATCTTTAAGGTGTCTCCATCCTTAGATCTACATGGGAATATACTTGGTATATATACACACCTGTAAAGTAAATTTCTTAGGAAGGGCATAAAACCAACCCAATTTGGTATTTCAGTTCTAATGTACTGCACAATTTACAAAACATACCAACAGCCACAGAAAAAAAACCCACAACAAGACAAACAAAAAATCCAAATCCAGAAATATACCAGATGACAAAATACTTGCACATCTTTCTCGGTATTACTTTTCACCCTGCGGTCCACTAGACAAGATGTTTTTATATAGTCCACCATGACAAGGTATACTTCATTTATTTGCTTTTATGCATGTACCAGTCACTGACCAGTCATCTTCTGTCTGGAATGAACTAACAAGACAAACAAAAAATCCAAATCCAGAAATATACCAGATGACAAAATACTTGCACATCTTTCTCGGTATTACTTTTCACCCTGCGGTCCACTAGACAAGATGTTTTTATATAGTCCACCATGACAAGGTATACTTCATTTATTTGCTTTTATGCATGTACCAGTCACTGACCAGTCATCTTCTGTCTGGAATGAACTTCAAGCAAATTTGATCTTACTTAAAGTATAAATATGAATACCTTACTCAACAATGTATCACCTAAATGATTGACCCTGTAGGAGAACAGCTAAATCTGTATAATGAGAGTGTTACTGTATTAATCCTATACTCCTTGAAGGTAATCTCCCTTCAAGGAGAAGAGTCACTGGACTGTTGGCAACAAAATAGTTATGCAGATCCGTAAGAGGTATTTTGTACTACTTTCAGCATAATACCTATGGCTATAAATCAAACAGAAAATTATCCTCCTGCAGGTATACACTACTTCTCTCTGTCATCTCCTGAGTAACAAAACGCAGCAAGCAAATTATACTCTAGTTGTTTGTGACTAAATTAGCCTTTAGGCCACCACTGCAAGACTCATTCTACATTTTAAATGAGCTGGTTAAAAACAAAACTTCTACTGAAAATTACAGCAAGAATTTTATTAGCTTCCACTGAATTTTGTTTTTTTTCCCTACTCACATCCATGAATAATATTTTATAGTGCATGCAAAACACCAAATTTTAGTTTGCAAGTTTTGCATATCCCAACAATTCAGACCCATCAACAGCAGTTAGTAATTAGGTTTTGTATATGACTAATGATCAGTAATAATTAGTAACTTCTTTACAGAAGCTTCTCCCCTCTCTTTTAAAAGCCTGTTTTATGATAGAAATCTAGTGGTCAGCCAACCTACAGGAAGGAATAAACTACACTGGCTTGAATCCAAATTTGAACATGCTCAAAATGATAATCATCCCTTAAAAACCAAAACACTCCCTCCTCCATGCCCTACATCACCAAGACAGTAAATCTGTCAGATTAAAGTATAATCTGCAGATTAAAGCAGAATATAACTTTTAAAATAATATAATACCATGTAGTCCAATATTTAGATCAGTAAATAAGGATATCTTTTCCCCAGAAAATGGCAAGATTATTTCAGAACTATAACTGCTAGGTGCTGTTGATAGACCACATGCAGTTCTGGGAAGCAAGTTTTAGAATCAAATACTTTAATAATCCAGAAGTTAGAAGCAAGAGACTAAGCTTTGCACAGTGTAACGTGTATAATATATACAGGTTATACTCTCTGTATAATACATATACTATTACTTAACTCTGAAAGATCACAGCATAACTCAAAGATTAATCAATCATCACCAACACAAGTACCCCACCAAGGACATAAAGAACACCGGTGTAACATCCAAATTTATATTTGGCTGATTGTTGTCCTTCCTGGAGGGTATTTTACATCTATTTTGCAATTAACATGGGGTTTAACTAGTTTAAATATTACATGTAAGATAGTGAAGGAGTTTTACAATACACAATTTCAAATGAGACAGTCTGACCAAGCCATAAGTGAAAACAGAAGAGATTTAAAACACGCAGTCAAGTTCCAGTGACAAGAGATGACTTATTTTAAAATGAGTTCCAAGTTTTCACTGGATCAGACCAAGGGCCTGCTGAGGCCCACATTCTCTCTGCCAGCTGCAGCAGGTAAAACTATGCGGTCAGAGTAGAAAATCCAGGCTACAATCTTTAACTGAAACCTCTCACACTACCCAGCATCCACGACAACGTTACAGATGTCAGAGACCACTTTCTTGTCTATTCATTGCTCATGGACAGCTGTCAGTAAGTGCATCTAATCCCTTTTTGAACTTGCTGGTACTATGTGCCTCTACAGCACCTTGTGCTGGTGAGGTTAAGATAATTACCTGGATAGTAATTCAGCTTGAAATGGATAAAATAATATCCTACGAGTACTCCCTTCTTCAGCTTTCAAACTTCTTGAACTAGGTGTGACCAGTACCCCCTGCTCCCATCCCCTGGTAATACGGTTAGCATAACTAACGCCATTTTATGAGGCAAGCAGCCATTCTCTGCGACCGAGCGGGTCACACATTTGTTCCCTTTCCCCTCATTCTCAGGCTCTGAA